GAATGAAATCTGGCCATTTGCAGCAACGTGGATGGGAACTGGAAGGTATTACGCTAAGTGAAATAAGTCAGTCAGAGGACAGATATCATATGTTTTCACTCATATGTGGATCTTGAGAAACTTAACAGAAGTCCATGAGGGAAGGGAAGGGGAAAAAAATAGTTACAAACAGAGAGAGAGGGAGGCAAACCACAAGAGACTCTTAAATACAGAGAACAAACTGAGGGTTGATGGGGAGTGGGGGAGAGGGGAAAACGGGTGATGGGCATTGAGGAGGGCACCTGTTGGGATGAGCACTGGGTGTTGTATGTAAGCCAGTTTGACAACAAATTATATTTTTTTAAAAGTAACGTATAAAAACTGAATCTGCCAAAAGCTACCACCTCAAAAAGGAAAAGTATATAAAACCTACTTATACACATTAAGTAATTCCCAAAGTTGACAGTGCATCAGAATGACCTGGAGAAGCTTTTTAAAAATTACGACCTGAAGCCCCATGCTAGATTTCTTGAATCAACACCTCCAATGGCAGGGCACCCAGGTGATTCTGCAAAGTCAGCCTGTAGGCTGGGAACCTCTGCTTCAGTCTATGCTCACTGCCAAGAAAATAAAGCCTGTTACTATTATATACTGTCTGGCACACAGAAAAAGAAAGAAGAGCTTCAGGGTATGGGTTTAAGTCAAATTATAAATGCTAGCCCTAGTTGTGTCAACAGGAAACAAAACTTACTTGGAAGGACATCCTCTCACTTAGGATACAACCTGACCTACAACCCAAGTCTGACCCAAGCAGTGCTCACTGCAGCTGGAGAAGGAAGCCAGAGTTGGTGACATTTTTTGTCTGTGCTATCTCTCAGGTTGGCATATAACTGGCATGAATGCTGCTGCTTCCCTCTGAGGCCCCCGTGTCCATGGTAGACATCACTAACGGACTGTAGCACTCTTTCCTAGAGAATCCAAACAGGGCCTCAGTCTCCCCCCCTGAACAGACTGCCACTGCCTAAAATGGGAGCTGTCTGGTAAGGTGAGGGCTTGTGCCCTACCTTCCTACAGTGACTGCTTAGAAACCAGACATCTCTGCAGACCACAGCCACCACACCACTATCCAAGGCAATCCAAATGAGAAATAATGTGTCTCCAAAGCAAAGCAAGCATGTATTTTCCTTTTCAATAACCTGCACCCTAGGGTCTTTTTCAACATATCTGAACTACTCAACAGACCAGGCCTTGCGCTGGGATGAATCTCCTCCACAAAGTCTTCCCCAAATACCTGTCTGAATTCATTATTCCCTTCACACTGCTTAGGGCCCATCTGTGCCCATGTCCCCTAAAAGACAAATTCCTCTCCGGAAACCCTAGCACCAGTCCTAGAGTGCACACACACATTCATGCAGTGAGAGCAAAGATGACACAATGAGAGTTGCCTCGTATCTCATCTGGAAATCAATCAGAAACACCGAGGTAACGAGGGCTGCTGATCTTTGATCACCTCAAGGGGAAAGGTGCACATATGAAATGTCTGGTCTTCTAGGCCACCCTTGACCCATTCCGGCTGTACAGACTGGGTAAGTAACACCTAAGTGTTCACCAGAGACACCTATCACTCAAACACTGCATGTGTGTCAATCCTATTAAGTCTTTATTTGGCTCCTGGAGCTCCCAGGCCCTAGCTTTCTACAACAGCGATGTATTTTAAGAAAAGCTAAACCTCACAACTAAGAGCAACAGCCTAATAGAAACTCTGCTGCTACAAAATTAAAATGAAAAAATAATGATGTTTTCTAGGATCTGCATACCAATGACTTGAGTAGGAACCGACGGAATATTTACTTCAAAGAACTGGCTCATCCTTCCTGGTATATCCAGAAGTATGAAAATCAGGGAACACCACTGAGGAGGCAGCCTCAAAATGCAACTTAGTGCAGAGACAGAAGCAGGATACAAATGTGAGACAGACACATGAGCAGTTTAAAAAATGGTAACACTTCCAAGACTGATCTGAGGTCTTGGGGCGAAGTCAGAGAAAAGAAGGATCCTAACAGTTATTAGCCTGTTCCAGAAAAGGTTACATTGTAGAAAAGTCTTGATAGGAAACTCGCACTTAGCAACACCTAAACACAAAGTTACCAGGTTGGGACTGAACTAGAGCTAAGGGAAGACCTCAGACAGATGCTCCCTCCAGCTCAGAGAAGAAAGGGGATGAGATGTCTAGGAGTGACCCACTTTCACTTCTAAGTTTAAATGACCATTATAATTAACAGGGTTATAACCAGGACAAGTTCAAAAAGGGCACCTAGCTTAGGTACGCATTTCTAAACTCTAACCATTAAGAAAAACTCATTTTCTGTGTTGCAAACTCTATGGGGCTTTACTCTGATTATCCGTCCTCAAACCACTGCTAAGATACAGAAGCCTAAAGTCTTTTTTTTTCACTCAAGGGAATACCATTACAATTTCAATCTGTCTACAAAGATCAGCAACAAGAAGTAACAAAATATAAAAAGCAACTGGCAGTTCTAAAATGTTCTTAATAATGCTTCTCAGTCCAAAGCATTTTCTTTTAACATCCCCCAATCCAAAGAGTATCAAAGGAGACGCAAAACAAACATTTCAATGTGGTATCTGCAGTTTAACAGCCGTAATAACTGTGGCCATAAAATTTTAAGAGCTATAGTATTTTGGTGGCAATTAGAGTTATTGATATTTCTGAAATTCATCTGAGATTTTACTGTAACTTTAGCAAAAAACTGGCTTTGGTATGGCTTTGGAAATAATTGTTCTACAATCTTAACGTTATTAAGAAAAACGCATTGCAATGAATTTAAACTAAACCCATATTTAAAATTCAATCAAAATAAACTGCTTCTCATCAAGATACTAATACATTTAAAAATTAATTTAATATTGAATGGGAAGAAAATATTGCTTCATTTACAATCAATATGTTGAGATTAACACTTTTATTAATTCTCTACAGTAGTTAGAAAGAGACTGACACCACTCAGCATTCAAGAGCATCCAGTGATATCCTTCAAATACCTCTACAGATATTAAATGTGCAAAGTAAAGTTAAAGTTGCAATGAGAAGTAACAAATGTAAGCCACTCCTCAAGGATGCTACTTAAGGTCTACCACAGTAAGTGTAACAGCTCTAAGAACTGGATTTAGGTCACAGGTCCTCAAACTGTGTGAAAAAAACTATGCCACCTCTGCTTTTAAAAGGTTAGGCAGGGGCACGTGTGTGGCTCAGTTTAAGCATCCTTCTCGTGGTTTTGGCTCAGGACATGATCTCATGGTTCAGGAGTTCGAGCCCCAAGTCCTGGCTCTGTGCTGATGGCATGGGGCCTGCTTGGGATCCTCCCCTCTCTTTCCCTCTCACCCTCTCTGCCTCTCTCACCCTGCCCCTGCACACTCTCTCAAAATAAATAAAAACAAACTTTAAAATAAATAAATGGGGCGCCTGGGTCGCTCAGTCGGTTGAGCGTCCGACTTTGGTTCAGGTCATGATCTCACTGTCCACAAGTTCAAGCCCCACATCAGGCTCTGTGCTGACAGCTCGGAGCCTGGAGCCTGCTACAGATTCTCTGCCCCTCCCCCACTCATGCTGTCTCTCTCTGTCAAAGATAAACATTACAAAAAATTTTTTAATATAAATAGATAGATAGATAGATAGATAGATAGACAGACAGATAGATAGATAGATAAAAGGGTTAGGGAGTGTATGAGACAATCTGGATGTGGGTCATCAGTTCTAAGTAACAGAAGAAAAAATATCAGGACAATCTGCATTCATAAAGGCCCGTGGAAAGCTACAAGAAACAATAAACTAGACCTCCCTACATAGAAAAGAAGAAAAAACTGTGGAAGACTGGGAAAAAGCCATCCCAGGAGCAAACACTTAAAAAGTAATCTGCTGGGGTGCCTGGGTGGCTCAGTTGGTTGAGCGTCCAACTTCTGGTCAGGTCATGATCTCACAGCTCAAGCCCCACATCGGGCTCTGTGCTGACAGCTCGGAGCCTGGATCCTGCTTTAGATTCTGTGTCTTCCTCTCTCTCTGCCCCTCCCCACTCTGGATCTGTCTTTCTCTCTCAAAAATAAACATTAAAAAAAATTTTTAATAAATAAATAAATAAATAAAGGGATCTTTTTATCTTATTTACCTGTTTTATTTATCTTTCAAACAGATCCCCTTTCCCTTGCACCTTGTTCGTGCTTGGTAAGCTCATGTGGGAGACCTGAGGCATGGCAAGGTCGTGCTCAGTGGGGCACACTGGTATCTGCAGCATACAGACCATTTTCCGGGGCTCAGAAAAAATATATGGCAGCTGACTTCCTGAATGAACACATTCACCTTCCCTTTTATCTTATTTGCATCTTATACTGAGAGAGCCATGGAAAAAAGCCAAAGTCAATCTCCAGCATAAAAATGACCGTGAAAAGGAAGGGTATGCAATGAGCATGAAATACACTTCTGGCAGCATGACGGGTTTATAATTCTGTAGGTGACAGAATTGTCTCAAGACAAGGAAGGAGGGATTTAAGAAAACAAGCTTATTCTTTCATACACCAACGCTTAAATTTCAGCTTCTTTTTGGGACAAATCCTCCACAATCATTTCCCTGCTTCAAAAGAAAACAAAAACCACCACTATACAAGCCAGTCTTCTCCTGACCCCTGTTACAGGTGACCTCTCTGAGTATAAAGGCATACATCTCACACTTTAGTCCTCTGCATGCATCTTGCCCTGGCCCTCCCCCAAGCTTTTCTTCTGAGACTCGTCCCAAATCTGAACGAAGATACAGAAATTAGAAGCATTCCGTATCAGCTCCTCTGGGGACTTGGGGGTTCTGCTCGTTTAGGAGGCTAAGGATGCAGGAAGTCCAACCTTTGGATAAACGGGGGTCTAATACATTAACCTGAATCTAGAATCCTTATTTAATAAACCTGCTGCCTAAGACAAAGCAAGCAGTACAATCTCTTTACAATCTCTGCAGACTGACCTTAGCCGCTGCTTATAATAATCTTCATCTCCATCATCTCGGCATCTCACTACTTTCCGACCTCCTCCTCCACAGGTGGCTTCTGCTTCTTCCCCAGAACTTGGAAAAAAGTCATCCCCCATCTCCTGCACCGTGACTTTTTTCTGCCGCTTCCGGTGCTTGAGCACAGGTTTCAGCACGGAGTCAGGGCCTTCTCCGGTCAGCTCAGCCCCCTCTGCCTCCTCCTGCTCCTCCTCCGTGGGGAAGTATTCGGACTCTTCGCTCTCAGAGGTGCCCTCTGCCTTCGGCTTCACGTCAGACTCCAAAGGCTTCTTTCCTTTCGGCAAGCCCACTTTCCCTTGGAAATGAAGAGCCCTTTTCTGCAGCTTCTTGATGTGCTTTCTCAAGCGCTTATCTGCTTTCGAGAGAACTTTGCTTCGCTCACTTGGTTTGTTTTCACTGAGTGTTGCGCTCAGCTCAGAGGTGCCCGAGGCCGCAGTTTTCCTAGCTGCTCTTTTATTACAAGCTTGCTTCTTCCTTTCAAAAGACAATTTTGCTTGATCTGCCAAATACTTTTCAAAGCCTGATGCTTCATCGAGCATTAGTTTTCTAGGCTTTTTCTCCTGTTTCTGAGGGATCTGGGTTCCAAAAGGTGTCATCTGGCCAGTGCGGATGAGCTCTTCCCAAGCAGCCTCCTGGACAGGCATGAGCATGCTGCCGAGACAGGATGGCCCCGGTTCTGAAAGAGGGACGACAATGCACTGAGCACTAGTGTGAACCTTTCCAAGAGTACGACACAAGGACTCACTTATTCAATAAATAGCACCTACAAACAACTCACATTTAAAAAACATACCGTGGATGTACTAAAGCATATTGTACATAAAAGAACAGAATAAAATTTATTATAGCATTCATCATACCACGTTCAATACACTCCTATTCAAAAAGGTGTTGTATGGAAACCAATCTGACAATAAATTTCATATTTAAAAAAAAAAGGTGGTTTCTCAATAACTTTTTCTAAAATAATGCATTATAAATACACTCTCTGTGTATCTAAAGACAGAGCTACTCATTTACAACATACACATTTCTCTGTGTTTCTTCATCAATTAAAGAGTAGCCCCCAAGGAAGCAATCTCCCAAGTTTCCATGTCACTTCAAATACCAACATTCACATGGACTTAAATTCAAGAGATAGTAAAACAGAAAACATAAAGAATCAGCATGCACCTACATAGGTAAAACATAAACATTCACTCTGCACTGCCCAATATAATAGTCACCATGTGGCTTTTTAAGTCGAAAATTCAGTTCCTCAGATGCACTTGCCGTATTTCAAGTGCTCAATGAGCCATATGTGGCTAATGGCTACCATAATGGACAACACAGACAGCATTTCCAGCATTGCAAACAGGTCTACTGGACAGCACTGTGTTAAATGTGCAAAGTTAACTAACAGAAAAGAGAAACTAAAATTGGAAGTTCTGCCGAGCAATATAAAGTCACCCAGATATCATCCCTCTTTCGTTAGTTGAACTTAATCTCTGGCAAAATTATTTCACCCACAGCCAAAATACAAACGTAAGTAAGGCTGAACAGGAAGAATCCATATTCTAAAAATCTACATTTCTTGTAACCAGTGTTTCACTAAACTTGCAGTAAAGAACAATACACATCAGAAAGGGCACAAATACTAAATGTACAGCTTAGTGAATTTTCAGAAAAAAAACATACCCATACACCGACATCCAGATCAAGAAACAGAAATCACTACTACCCCCAGATGCACCACCCTTCATGGCACCCTCCAGTCTCCACCCCCCCAAAGTAATAACTGACCATACCATTAACGCTACAAACAAGCTGTACCTAGCTTTGAACTTTATGTAAATGGAAATGTTTGTACTCTTACGTCTGGCTTTTTTGCTATAAACATGCTTGTGAGAGTCATCCTTATTGCTGAATATCGTTGCAGTTTGTTAATTCTCATGGCTGTTAGTATTATATTATACAAGTATACTATAATTTTTCCATTCCACTGTTAATGGACATTTGGGTGGTTTCCAGGTTTTAGCTACTATGAATTATGTTGCTATGAATATTCCAGTACACCTCCTTCAGAAATACATTTATACATAATTCTTTGGGTATGTTAAGCTCTAGCAGACACTGCCAAATGGTTTTCCAAAGTGGTCCTATTAATTTTAAGTTCTACCAACAGTGTTTGAGAGTTTCAATTCTTACCATTTTAGGTATTCTGGTAGTTGTGTAATGGTACCACTTTGTGGTTGTAATTTGTGTCTCCCTACTAACTGATGAACTAGGGCACCTCTTCATAGGTTTACTGACCTTCTGAATAGCTTCTTTTGAAGACAATGTTCAAGTCTTTAGCCCTTTCCTAAGAGTTCTTTAATACACTCTGGATTTGTGTCCTTCAATTATACATGTATTGCAAATATCTTCTCCCACTCTGCAGCTTGTCTTTTCCCTCTCTTAATGCTATCTTTTGATGCACAGTTTAGTTGTGATATAGGTCACTTATCAAATCTTTTTCTTTACAAAACGCATTTTTGTGTCTCGTTAAGTCTTTGCCCCAAAATCATGAAAATACTTTCCTACGCTATACTCTAAAAGCTTTGTGTTACCACTCACATTTATATTTTTATAATCCTTTCAGAATTTATCTTTCTACATAGAGTAGCAGGCCAAGACTCATTTTACCTTCATGTGAACCACTTACCGAAAAGACGACACTTCCCCATAGCACCGTACTGCCACATGCATCATAAACCAACTAATCACACATGGGTGGGTTTGTCTGCTGGACCCTATATTCTGTCCCACTGATCTATTTGTCTTTCCTTGTGCAAATACCCACTGTCTTACTTACTGCACCTTAATCACGGGCCTTGATATTCTGTTCCTCTTCAAGGCACACTCTTCTCAGGATGCCTGTGTAACTTAGTCGGTTGAGCATCTGACTCCTGATTTCAGCTCAGGTCATGATCTCTCAGTTCGTAAGATAGAGCCCCCACATTGGGCTCTGTGCTGACGGTGCAGAGCCTACATGGGATTCTTTCTTCCCTCTCTCTCTGTCTCTCCCAGGTTCATGCGCTCTCTCCAAATA